CACATACATACACACTTAGCTATGGTCCACATACTAGCAGTAATAATATATATATATGTATATATATACTCTATCCATTGGCATAAAACATCCGCGCGGCCGTTCTTGTTTTAGGCGCTGTGATGTTGGATCAAGTAACGTCAAGAGGGATAAGTGAGGCGGTTCGCTATAATGGTCGTGTTCGTCTATACAACTATGGAATAGCAGAAATCATTAGAGAGCATGAAACGATAGAATATATTTGAAGGACATGACCAGTAGACAGACACGAGCAGGAAAAAAGAAGGACGGAAAAAGCTCCATATGCAAACGGCACAGAGGTCATGCCATGCCAAGCTAGGCTGACCTTGCGACAGGTAACCCGGTAAGAAACACAAGTACCATGGCCCTCCTGTATTAGGAAAATTGTTTGAGAGGGTGCACCACGCGTACTGGATGCGTTCTTTTTTTTTTGTGATTTCAATGCGATTTTCTAACGTAACTTCGACTTCCTGTTGTCACCACCCAAATTTGCTTTAAATCGTTAATGGCCTTTAGAGAACATACTTTGACTGGACATACAGCCCATAGCTATTAATCCTAAACCAATTAGTGCCTGCGAATTTGTTTAAGAAACAGGTCAAATCCGAAAAAGCTTGTTGTAAGCTTTAATACCACTTATTGTAGTCACAATATTTTGTCCCCGCATATTTATATGATATAGAGCTGGTCCTTAAATGTCGTCTCTAAATTTTAATAATTTTGTTCGAGATTCTTTAGAAAGCTTCTAAGTTTAGATCAGTATGTTACCGTTCAGTTCCATATGTTACTAGGATTTGTATTTGATCTTGATAACCGGAGTTACGTGCCAACATAAAATCTCTTATAGGACACAGTAGATTTGATACGGTATCATATCAGGCAGCACGGTAGATTGTTCCTAGCGGAAAATAACCATCATTGAGGAGCCATTTGGCTATCAACAAATTCAAATAAATACTTTGACCTCAGAGCAGAGAAAATGCCAAAAAATCATTTGCCTAACGGATGAACGGCACAAACATTTCTTAGGTTTTCGATTGGCACAGTAAAAGCGTACTTCTGTCTGCAGTTCCATGACGTGTTTCAATATCGCAGGTTTGATTCAGTGGGCACTGGCGAATTTCATCAGCAAGAAGTGTTCTCAGCTAGCTTGGATTCAGTAGAAAGCAACTGGCTTCACCTTTATTCCGAATGGGGTTAGTGCGATGCGCTAGAGGAGAGTTTTTGAAGATGTTTATATTCTCACACTCACGACCATCGTGCACCGTACCCTGTCCGTGATCTGCTCTGCGAAGGTTGAGCCGTTCAAGGGCAATAGACCAAAATCTAGATCAAAAATAGATGTGAGGGGTTAAAAAGCTTCCGGTACTTTTTTTATCGCAGATCATGACTAAGTCCCACCAGCAGACGATTGATTGCCACGAAACTGGGACTCTGAAGTGCGTGTGAAAAAATTGCGCTCTAAAATACAGTTCACCTACACCTCATCGTGGACGAAAAGGCTAAAATACGCTAATACATCACATTTAACTAGGGATTTTGTGCAAACATACCTGTATAGTGAATTTATAAAAACTAAAGCACATCAGCTCGACATTGGACATTTCCTGACTGTAAATTTCGTTTCGTCGTAGATTTCTGACCTGTCAAATGATCTCCTATTTGCATTAGGTCTAGCCGTTTGCGCTAACTCTTAGATCACCCTCAAATAACTGCGAGAGCCATTGGCCAAAGGTGATAGATTCGATTAGTGCTATTAATGTTTTAATGTATTATTAGACCTGTGCACCTGTGTTTACGTAATGTGTTCATCATCAATTGAGTTAATAAGAAACGAAAAAAAAAAGGAAAAAACAAAAGGAACTACAATAGGCTTTATTTTATTGAAAGGCCTAAATTAACGAAGGCATTCATGACACCATGACTATCGACTATTCTTATTAATATACAGTGCGAGTAATCGATTGCAAAAAAAAAAATCGGATATAGAGCAATGGCCTGCTGTCTGTATGGTAGTTAGACGCAATCTGTATGGTGTACATGGTGCACCAATGCATCGTATCCTAACAAAGGCCGGCTAAACGAGCGAATAAACACGCAAGAGATATAACAAAACGATAATATATATAATAGGATAGTAGAACAATGGAAAATCATATAAATCAGTGATTGGATAAACAAGAACCGCAAGCAACTATCAATCCATCCATGCAGCCTATAATAACAGCATCGTTCTGGTGTGGTCGTGAACAGAAAATGCAATAGTGAACACTGAAAATGAAAGGAATCGTAATTTCATCGTCTTTGCCGATAAACAGTAATCCTGCCGGTACTGCCCCCTCAATTGACCATCCCCTTTTCCGTAGACAGGCTTGGTCGGTTGTATTTATACATTCATAACATTGTACGTACGTGAGTCTCAGTGCACGGTGCGTGTGTATTAGGGGGGGGGGGCGAGAACCGTCGTGCATAGCTGGGTCGTTCTCCGTTATCAATGTTACAGTGAAATAGAAAATAAAATAATATACATATTACGATACTTGGTATTCGATCAAGCGTTAATTAGAGGAGCATTTATACACGCACTGGTAATTCTACGTCGATATAATAGCAGACGGATGAAATGGGATAGGTTCATCTTCGCTTAGTATAATGTATAGCGTTGTACAACCCATTGACTTTTGCATGAATCTACGTTTTCACATACAGAGCGTAATCCTCGTGCTATGATACCAGTATTATTTTTACCATATACGAAAGTTCGAGGTGTAGATAATGAGATTATCGGAAAGTGAATTACTACGTTTGCCCAGCCGTTGAGTCTCGGACAAAGACCCAAGGCGGGAACGGGTTTGGGAAAACCGCACTGACTGTCGCTTTATGGAGCTAGAAGAAGCGGGTATTCTACGATCGCATAAGTACCATCGCCATAGCTGTCAATCGCTTAATTCTGGAGGAAGCGTTTTTTGGAGAAAATAACAATCAAGCAGAAAGGTCCATAATCTCATGATAATATGTCAAATATATTTAAATTAGATGACAATCGTTTCTACCACCTGCTATAGTTCACGTTACGTATCGATAACGAATAGCTCTTACTATGTTTTATACAGAAACAAATTATTACGTCACAAAGTGCTTTTGATAGATAACAACACTTTTAGCCATTAGCTCTGATGCAATGTCCTTGAACGAGAACAGCGTAAGAAAAAGCCAGCTAGTCGTCGGCGTGACGCACTCTGGCGCGTGCCAGGCCGATGTGTCCGTTAAAGGCTGTAAAAGGTCTAGCTACGGCAGCCGGAGCTGACTGGGTCTTGTAACAATACGGACATCCATTAATCGCAATTGTTACAAACTTTATCAACGAGCTCCTTTCTAAGATCACGAGCTTGATTTGTTGAATTGAACGTTAATTATACACGTCGATACGGCTTGAACATTTTGGAAACTCGGCCTGCTTGCGTCAGCGTCGCAGTGGCGTAATGCAGGCGATTGAGCACCACGGTCACCGTTGCTGTGATTTGCGCGTCGTCACTAATGGGTTTCTGTTGTCTAGATATGTTTGCTATCTAATATGCTAACACTGTCGAGATGTTATACGAGCAAAAATACAAATAGTGATGAGAGATGCCACTCGAAAATGACGACTTATCTTTGAAGATGTTTTATGATAGTTAGATAATAAAGCAACATAATGGCACAAGATACAGTTACGAACGACTAACAGTTGCATAGCATATCGGTATCCTTCTATATCTAAATGGATGCCAACTGTGTAAATGACCCCTGGCGAAAAGAAAAACACCTCAAATCAGTCTCAAACAACAGAATAAGTACTCTTTCTCACCTTTTTTCTGTGGAAAAAAATCTCAAGTGGCAATATTATGCTCAGATAGCAACGTACTAACTCGGGCTCGCATGTGTGACGTAACAGCCTCGACCGACATAACCAAGTTATATATATATATATATATATATATATATATATATAACTCGTATAATTACTTAACTAGGTAACTTGGCACAAAATAATTAACACGTTGAATTTAATTACTTGCTTTATGGCTAGTCGTTCACTGTTTTGTGTTTTTACTAAATCGTCTTGCACACGAGAAATAGGTGTGGATATTATACTGACAGATGGAGCTTTTCTGTTGTGTTCCTATGTATAATACGACGTTCGTGATCTAATACTTAGCACATCCATAGTGCATCTCTGTCCTTATTCCTCTTGCTAAGTTAACCAGTGCTCAAAACAGAGTACACAATCAGCTGAACTCGATCATGGCCCACTATGGCGAAAGTCTAAACCGTGATTTGTTCAACGCTAGCATTAAGCCCAGGACAGCAAACCCATCATATGTATATATAGGGGCACACAAGCAAGCGGCCTGTGCTTTACGTATGTAGCAGATACAAATCCGCTGGGGCTTTCCTAGATCGATCTGCTGAGGCTAGTCATTCCACTCCCATAACCATTGTAATCGCCATTACTCGACCAACTTTCTCTAATGCAACCATAACAAATAGTAGCGCTACAGACCGCCGTTTGACCCGTCGTCGTTCAATAACTCAAATAATTTGGACCCCGCTCATTTGTAGCAGGAAACAAGATCATCAGCCGGAAGTCCAGCTAGTCCATTGTTCAAGCCCTGCTGCTGTAGCGATACAGCTACCGCTCCCACGAACGCAGATTTTCCAAGAATAGCGCAAAAGAGAAGGGCGAAGGAGAGGGATCGACTGAGATGTTATAGTACGAGTGTTGGAATAGGGAAAAGGGTTCAAGTTATGGAATTAAAATACTTGGCAGTAAGTGGAATAGCGAGAAGCAGACCCCAACGCAGCCATTGCCAAGGTCACTCATAGGAGCTCGCGAAAACTGCCTCCAGTGATCGATGTACGGCAACGACTGTAAAAGACGGAGAGAACGATCAGTATGACTGGGTAGACTGCGACGGCGGCGGTCGAGATATCGACAATAGCCGAAATAGGGCAGTATTCCAAACTTCTTAGAGCGACACGACCCATCAAACGAACACTTCGTTATTGAACGCAATCAACGAAAGCACTGATGCGTGCTGCTAATTCCACTTTCTCTCCAAACTACCGTACCTGTTCGTCAACGCGTAACAACGATTCTTTTCGCCTCGATTCGAGTACCAAGTCTGTTGTTTAATCGTCTTTTCTGACATAATGATATTGTCGAAGTTGGACTAGCAACAATGACAATATCGTATGCTCGTACATGCGTCTGTTTATCTATTTGCCTGTAGTACGAAACTGAAGCAACATGGAAGGCGGTAAAAGCGAACAACAGTACTAGCAGAAGTGCAGAGAGCAGAAGACTAATGTCAATGGCGTGATTCAGTTATTAATTATTCCTATGTTATACGATGCTTTTGCTTCCGATGCAGTCGTGCGCCGCAAAACTGCTTGGTCCTACCGGCGTTGCTTACTAGGCCTCACCCCCGTTTCGTGGTCGCCCGACTTCAGTTCGTCAACGGCCGTTTCGGTTTGCCCTGCCGATCGGCCCTCGAAAACGACAGCGGCAGCGGCAACGGCAACGGCAGCGGCAGCGACGACAGTAATAGTTACAAAAGAGGCAACGGTAACTACTAGTAGAAGGAAATATGTATTATGTAATAGGTAAATTATCATAAGGTGCTTTGACGTCTATAGCAGTGGCTCGGTTGGCGATTTCGCCGTCCAGCTGAACCTCATTGCGTAAGCCTTACTGCCAGTGGTTAAGGCACTCATTCTCCGATTAAAAAGCTGTTCACGTTTGCGCACTAGCTACCTTCATTTACGCATTATTATTACAATAAAAAAAGTGTAAACGACAGTGATGCCTACAGACAATGCACACTCAAATGAAGATGGTAAGGAAAAGAACCACGCTCGAGCTACTCATTAGAATCAAAGGCAAAATATAACGTTGTAATGATAGTAAGTGATTATACTATCAATAGCTGTACATTTAACTGCATAGTGAATAAAGTTACAGCTCACGCGCTCGCAAACGTACGTAATATCCCTTCGTAACTAGAACGGGGCCAGCGGCGTGCGTAACTCAATCAGATTGTTGTCATGACAGCGAACGTTTCCTTACGATACTATACCAGTCGACGACTAAATGTTTGTGCGTTTAGTGCCGCATATTCAATAATCAGAAAAAAAAGTATGTTATTGAATAAGCTTGTTGTTCATAAATGTGTATCTAAATGTAGGATTGTAAAAATCCTATAGAGCCCCTGGTTGATTTACAGTTGAAAGATCAGGTATAATGTCTTTCGCTTAGTGGAAGATAATTTAAAATCGTTCCTGTATTAATTAACTTTAAGTTTTTACAACTTAGTATATACAGGGTAATGATATGTATGTGTAGTTCCATGATATGCATTCAAGTTGCGGAAGATTGTAATGGACTATAACGTAGTCTGACGTTATGTATCATTCATATGATCATCAGATATATCTAAATTGACTTACATGCTACGTCATGACAGTCTAAAGAGCAATATTACCTCTAACGAAAAAATCCTACAAAACCGTTTTTAAACTTTGGGCCAGGAAAGCAGAGTCTATAAGGGCATACGAGGCCTAGACGATCATGTTCTACGACAGGAAATAAGATCCAACCTCCAAGGTAGACATTTGCCGACTTTTTGCGAACTCTTTTTTTTTAGCAATTTTTCTTAATTTTTATGAACTAACCAGCATTTAAAAGCCAAAAGCACGGATTTTTTAATAATTTCTATAATTTGGCAGTCGGGTTAACTTACTTCTGTCACTCGCAGGTATACACCGATCGGCTCTACGTACTGCATGTGGCAGCTAAACTACTAATAGTGAACGTCTGTACTTGTTTCGAGGGCAAACGCCTACGACCATGAATAGATAAAGTATTTGTGAGAATTTTTCGGCTACATTACTGATTGACTTCCACACAAAAGGGCGAAATATTCCCAGTGAAAAATATTGTTGGTAATGCGCAACAATGGGCATAAAAAGGTAGACTGAGCAGAGCTCTATCAGTATCGCTCAGCCTACTCTCAGAAATTGGCGGAATTGTTATCGGTAGAACGTTAGTAGTTAACGCTACAATGGAACTTGTAGCAATGTGCCGAGTTAGCATTGTAAGTTGATGTACGACGGGTCGTACTAGGTAACGCACAAGTCAGCTGCGTATGTATCATCTTTGGTAGTCCGCCAACACATCTTCCTGCCTGTGGGGCCCAAAAAATTTCTCTTAACAGCCAATCACACAGGAATACTCACAGAAGATGGTCTGTAACTTTGAATAGAATGAATGAGTTTCGCAGTTCAAACCGGTGCCAAATGCTAAAGCAGTACGATACTGCCACGAGAACTGTTACCTATACGCGTATGTGAATGTATGATTATAGTATTCGACCCAAGCTAGCTCTTACTAGGTTACGCGATTAATAACAATATTCTAATTTTGGATTTTTTTTCAAATTTTTAGAAATTATGACCGCCTGAGTTATCTTAATCGCTTGTAAATTTTCAGGAATAATTTTTTTCTTCTAAGTACATAGAATCGATTCGTGTATACTAGCTTCTGTTACATTCGAAAAGGCAGATCTGGACTGGGCTTGCTAGATCACAACGATGAAAATCCCTCGCCACGTGAAATTGCTATTCGAAAGCGAGAAAAAAATGGTAGAAAAAAATTTTCCCTCATATCGAGCAAAAAACACGCCTACTGTATAAGATACTTTTAGCCATTTAACTTTTCCACCAAATGTCACGACGGCAGTGGCCATCTTGGAATGAGCGCAGATTGCAATCTACTTGTAGGAAATAGTGCAATTTTCAAACTGTAGTATTAAATGCCTATCGGCAAAATTGACGGCCTCTATTAACGCTCCCGCAAAAGCAAAGTTTCGAGAACGACTTTGCTCCTCCTGAACATATTACTCTTCATACCTTCGTCATATTTTGTCTGAACGTTACTATGGCAAGTTGTAAGTGATGCGACTAAGCTTAAACGGAGCGGCATGTAGGGTAAGTTGGACAACGAGCATAATGGAACAAGCTGGGGTCAAAAAAACTGCCGTGCGATAGCTTCAACATACACAAGAAGTAAATTCCCAAGAAATTTATTGAACATGCTGTACATAGATAACGTCTTTTGCCAACGGAGGGAACCCCTTCAAATGTATTCCATACGCCATAGGCCTGATAGGGCCTATGGCGTTTCGAACTCGGTCGGGGGAAATGTCCCCACTATGGAACTCGAATTAGCGACCTCATTTTCACAGCCGGACCCTGAGCCGTTGCAATTATCAACACATATTTAGCTCTGCGTCTGTTTTATTTCGATTTGAACAATTGGAATATTTTTATTAGTGCTCAGACAAAATTTTTAGCTATGACACCATCTGCATCACTATCTCAAGGTCTTCCAATAATTGCGTTGCGACGAACCTCATTATTGGAAAAACCTTCTCATATTTATCTGCTGTGCATTCTCTGTTTAGCCCAACTGGGTCGTTGTATCGACCTGAACTAGCGATCAGGTTACGTTGAAGGCTTCATCCGATAAATACAAGATATACATGATTTAGTAAAAGGGCTGTCCTTAGAAAGTCAGCGTTTCTATAGACGCATAAATAGTGTTACTTACCGTTAAATATCCATGTTAGGCAATATACCAGCTTTTTTATACGGTTTGATTATGAATATACCCTTTTCCACTTACTTACAATAAACACATGCACATTGCCTAGAGATTTAATATAGATCTTTTGTCCGAAGCATTTTTGTTACTTCCTTTATTAAAAAAAGTTCAACAGCACTCATTGTCCCATTCAATAGAGATCTCCTCAAGCTTTGTCTTGTGCTGATGATAGTGACTAATTGAATGGTCCAAGACTAGATATTTGTTTCTGCGCTCGTCTATCCTTGCCGCATTCAGCGTCTGAAATCCACCTACATTTTGCTATCAAATACTGCTTTTGTTGAAACGCTATCCTTCGAACTTAGTCTTTAGTGTTGTCTGGGGGACTGCTGCTTAATCCACCTGGCACTAGACACGTGTCCGTTTTTCCTGCGGGCTATTTTTCGCTCCTTTTAGCTTGACTCATTTGAGCTTGTATAGTGTAGTAGTAGTTAAACCTATTTGTATATTAGGCCAGTATCTATCGAAAAACCAGCGTTAGTATCTGCTATGATTTGAGTCTGCCTCCTGTGTACAATTGAAGTCAGTTCTGGGTATTTTCGCTTATGGTCCCTTAAAAGAGATCTACGTACTAGCAAGTGCCCAAGAGAGATCACGATATCGTCAACTTGAAAGTCTCGTCGCGAGCTCGGTCTATATCTAGCCGATTACTAGCCCACCAGCCAACCAGCTACAGCTGATTCACTAGTATCAGCATTGCCTTTTCTCGCTTCTGTTCGTTAGTCTGTCCTTAGCTATCAGTAGTACATTGTTAGCACAGGACGACTGATCCAACAGGATGCCTACTTCTATATTCGTATATAGGCGGTCGCACGGATCGTCTTCTCTATCGAACGCAAGCTCCTCAAGCCCGGTTCCGATCATCACGAGAACTTCTCCCAGTCCGCAGACGAGAAACAGGCAGAATCGAGAGCGCCAGTAAAATCTTGTAGGTAGAAATAGATATGGGCTTAATAAATAGCACCGATTTAAACACAATACATATACAAAGACGTCAGTGTACATAGTTTAGAAAATCTACAAATATACACACAAGAAACATCTAACAGCAACGGCTGAGGCGAAAACGAAGTCAGGCGGACGGTTGGAATCATAGACTGTGACCATGTGTATCTGTGCGCAATACAATGACTTCATTTGACGATGATCTATACGCTGTTATTTTAGAAAGGACTCCCACCATGATCCCAATCGTAACAGGCCAGTACCTCGGAGCTCTATTCCTCAGCCGTTCTACTTAGTCCATTTAGAGTGTGCATCCACCCATCCCACGACTTCCTGGTCCGATCCTATTATGAAAACTTCTTATCCCCTCCTCTGTTTGCACGCTTTCGGGTTTTTATCTACGTAGCGGGCTTCGTGCGACTAGCATGCGACCAGCGAGCGAATGAACGATCAATGAGGTGTACATCAGTAAAAATAACCTTTTCTTCTTCGAGACGCTTAAAGCGCCGCTTCAAACGTTGCAGCCCCTCTAACTGTTGTCGGCGTTTAAGAACCTTGCCGTTAGTCCAACATTCGAATGCTTTTTGAATGGACGTGGCCCAACAGTTTCTGAAGCTGTTTTGTTTCCCGTTGACATCAACTGCTTACAGGACACTGCCATAGAATATCTGTGTATGTGCGAGAAAAGCAAGAGAGAGAGCGAAAATATCTGTATCTCTGTGGAACGCGCTAAGCAGAACAAATAAGGGAAGCGCAGGGGGAGCGAAAAAACTTTTTTGAGCACGAACCATTGTCGTCGTCGTTGCCGCCGTTGCCATTCTAGCGCCGCCACTATCGGCAGGATCCTGATAAGAATCAACGAACGTCCGTCCCTTTGTTCCCGTCATTACTACTGGTACCGCTAGCCGAACAATTTTGATGATCTGATCAAATTTCCCGTTTGGTTGCCTGACTGCTCGTCAGTTAATCTCAGACCAAAGAGCAGACAGCTGGCCACGGAAGAGTATCGGCCATCGGCCTACTAGTTTCAGTAGACTCGATGGGAGTAAGTAAAACAGCAAACGAGCTGCAAGAGGAGAGGTCGTAGTTTTAGTAATAGTACCAACCAATGGTCACTATGGGTTGGCTTCATTCGGTTTGACTCGGTTCGATTGGGTTCGGCTACTTCGAGCGTAGTCGGCCTCTCTGCCGCCCTGTAAAGCTACTGTTGGAGTAGCTCGACTTCAGGCGACCGAGCCAAGCGAATTGGGACGATCGCTTGGGTCTCCCAGCACCCCTTCCGTACTCGTTTACCGAAATAGGAGACTTCACCTGGGTAGCTCCCTTTTTTCCCAGGGACTTCCTAGATCTCTCCCTCGCCCTGGATGCGCTCGTTTGCTGATCGAAAGCATCCAAACGAACAAGTAAATCTTCTCTGCTCGCTCCGAAGGACTTTCAAAAGAGTTTGCAGAGAATTGACAGTAGGTTCGCACGAGCCCTGGGGGCTGGTTCAGCATCTCCCTGGCTAGTTGGTTGGAAAGGAAAGAAGACGAAAAAGGAGAAGGAAGATGTAGAATGTGTCCTGTTGTACGAATCCTGCCCCTGCTGTGGGTCGAAGTAAGGGGCTCTTTAAACCCCCCGAGGGTAGACAGCCTGCAAACGGAGGGTTCCACGTTCTCTCTTTTGCCCAGCCTTTGCTGCTTTCCCGGCCCGTTCTCTCCCAAGTATCCTACGTACCCTTCGGAGTGCGGATCTTAACGCACCATCGGACAAAGTATCGCGCAGCGGGACGACGGACGGAAAAGCATCTCTTTCTGTGTGCCGCTGCGCCGCCTGTTTCTCTGGCTGCGGCTCTCGCTGCTGAAGCGCGTTGGATCGCAGCAGATAAGCATCCGTCCATAAATTAGGCACTAGACCGAGCTACGCTACTACTACTGCTACTACTATTACTGCCAGTAGTGATGCTGGTGGTAGACAGTATCATCCAGGCCGGCCGGCCGGCCGAAGAAGCGGCTGAATCCAACGGGGAAGGCGAAGTAAGTGTTGCACGCAACGGACAGCAAGCCGACACGGTATAGTACCACCGTCATTTCGAAGGCGGAAGCGCCATGAGTTTTCTACGAGCTGCAGCTACAGCAACGACGAGGCTGATACAGGGGCTCGACTAACCTTTAGTGTGTTTGCTACGTCGATCAGGAAAGAGTCCTAGACTACTGCTTCTAGACGAACTGCACTGAACGTCCCAGGCGAGCCAACTTCTGCCGTAAAGGCCACGCTTCCTATACAACACTATACGGACAGACAAAGGCAAGTGAACAAACGAATGGTCGGACCTGTGGACCAGTCAGGCGAATATCGCAAAGAGCGGAACACATTTATCCAATTCTATCGCATCCCACTCGTTTGGATACAATCG